TGATGGGTGGGGATGGGAGGAGAGGGCGGTGAATCCGTGGCTGTGATACGGTGCTTTAATTTTATTTTGTTCTATCTAGGGGCTGTATTGCCCCACTTCTCAACACTGAAGCAGGAAATATCTGACGAAGTCAGTTTCGGACATGTGGTATATTGCTGGACAAGGCAAAGAGAAGACCCTCATGTTTAGAGTACCCCACTCTTGCACCCACCCTTCCAAAGCTTGATGGATTCATGACAGGTTACACTTACATCAAGGTCCCTTCCTTCGTAATTTTCCGTACGGTTTCATGGTGTAGTTGGTTATCACGTATGCCTCACAGTCAATAATTTGTCTGAGTCCGCATAAGGTCGCCGGTTCGATCCCGGCTGAAACCACTTGGTGAGCAAACCTCATTCGGCGAGTTTATCTGTTTTTTTCCGTTTTTCGTTTTCCACCTGCCTCCTTTACCTGGCGACTACCCTTTTTTCCCATCCATTACCTGGATTTCCTGTTCAGCTGGGCTTGAAGAAAGAAACCTCGTTGCATGTGCGGGAACAGTGATTTTTCCGAGGACTTCCATCGGTATGGAGTCCACCCGAATCGGCGTATGCCAACGTCAATTGTACATAGAAGCTTTCTTCCAAACGCAAATTAACAATAACACATGACTTAAATTGGGGTAGCTAATGCTGAAATTTCTGATGTGGATAAACTATAATTGATTGCGACCCCCGCTTAAAGCTTGGCCTTCTTGGGGCTGGCGAGTTTGAGTACGCCGTCCAATTTTCTGCGTTAAAGGGAGGGAAACCATCAGGATTGACGTATAACTCGAGTGGAAAAACATGATATGGAAGATATGGACACTTACGCAGCAAGGCCCATGTTTCCCTTGACCTTGATCTTCCCACCCATGAACGCCTTTTGTGGGTTAAGTTTGCCAGAAGCGAGCTCAGCGAAATCAGCGTCGCTGACGGTTACAGTCATGTCCGCCTTTGCAGGGGGTGCGCCAGCGCCAACCGAACCTTCCCCGTTCTACAGGACGGATGATGTGTGAGACAGTAAGATGACGTATGATGAGTTAACAAAAACGTATGGCGACACCCGCTTACCTTGATGTCCACAAACCATGATTGCTTCTTGCCCTCTTTGTTGGTAACGTCGAAGGCGAAGACAGCCTTGATCTGGAAAGTGTTGATGCCGAGTTAATCGCAAGAAGAAACAGAGTACGAGTCCAATATCTCTTCCTACCTTCTTCACCAAAGCCACGCGGCCAGAGGATCCCAAGGCGTTAAGGCCAGTTTCAATCTGTTTGAAGATCTTTCCAGCAACAAAACCAGGAACCTCAACACCTGCTGGTGCAGCGGGAGCAGGTGCTGCAGAAGGACCACCAGCGGCGCCTAAAGAACAAGACAGTCAATTTTACAGGGTATGCAAACGTGTTCGGAATGCCGCCACTCACCATTCAACTCAACAGCGGCGTTAGAAATAGCAATTTCGTCGCGCTCGACCACCTTCACGCGGAAGATGATCCTGTTGCCCTCCTTCCACATTTGGGTCTCCAAGGTTTCACCAGGGAACACGTGCTTGGCGAAGCGGACCTGAAGATCGAAAATAAGTATATCTCATTGTCAAACGAAGGGCAAAATGGAGTCAACGCCCAAACCTTACCTTGATGTTCTTGAACGAGGCGGGATCGTTGTTGCCGTAGGTTTTGAGGATGTGCTTTCCAGCAATACCGAAGGACAGAAGACCATGGAGAATCGGGACTTGGTAGCCAGCCATAGAAGCGATGTTGGGGTCAATGTGGAGGGGGTTCATGTCGGAGGACAAACTGACAAACGATGATTGTGAGGCGGAAGCTCATCATTGAGTAAACAGAATTTAACCATCATACCGGTATGTCGCAGCAATGTCGTCGGTAGTCTTCTCTCTCAAGACGGCGTCAGGTGCGCGATTAGGGATAGCGTTGGCAGCAGTCCTGGCACCCTGGTCCCCGCGGTCCTTCTTGCCACCAAATCCACCGGAGGACCGGGCGAGGAAGGAGAACTCATTGTAGCAAAGCTCGGCGCCCGCCTCGTCCTTGGTGGTCACACCGATAATAACGATGGCTCCAGTCTTGCCCTTGTCGATGATGTCGACAATTTTGCCCTTGGAAACGACCTTCCCGCGGGTGGGGAGTGGCTTCTTGAACTCAATGTATTGCTCAGCGTGAAGAACCATGAACTTAACATATAATAGGGAATTAGTCAGCGCAAAGTGTGGGAGAAAGATGTGCTTTCTAAAACATACCGGGTTGTAGTTGGGAAGGTAGTCGCCGAACGGCACTTTGTCGGTTTGGTAAATGAATGCGGGAGTGACGGCGAACGTTGGGAGGGCCGCAAACTTGTCAGAAGCCTCGTAGACAAGATCAAGGTCCGTCCGCTTAGCACCGACGCCCAAAGCGTATAGGATCACGTCCTTCTCCCCGTACGTGTACGTGGATTCACCGAATTCAATTTTCTGAATCTTCGCCACATCAACCGCTCCAGAACCACCAGAGGGAGCGGGTGCCTCGGGAGCAACATTTTCAAAGTTGCTCTGCACAGCCGCGAAAGAATCTTGAGTGCTGGCTGGGTAAGTGGCCCTGCCGTCATCAAAGTTCGTGATTTCAGCCCATTTTGCGGCAATGTGCTCGGGCAACAGAGGCCTGTTGACGGGGAACCCTACACCGCCAGTGCGCTGCCATCGGACCTTGGCAATCCATCCGGATCCGACCTCGAAGACGCTTCCGGTTTCGGTGTTGGCGTCGTGAGCCAGGTAGGCAACAAGGGGTGCAATGTAATCAGGTTTAAGAGCCTCGACCATTTCAGGGGGCATGACAGTTGCAGTCATGCGAGTACCCGCGTTCGGGGCGATGGTGTTAACAATGATGTTGGCGCGGGCACCCTCAAGCGCGAGAGTGTTGCTCAGAGCGATGATACCGGCCTTGGCTGCACTGTAGTTCGCTTGTCCGAAGTTACCGTAAAGACCAACAGCAGACGTGGTGTTGATGATCCGTCCAGACTTCTGCTTCAAGAAATGGGGCCATGCAGCCTTGGCGACCTTGTAAGTACCGCGAAGGTGGACACGGTGAACAAGGTCCCAATCTTGGTCGGTCATGCGGGTGAAGGACTTGTCACGAAGGATACCAGCGTTGTTGACGACGATGTCAACGCGTCCAAAGGCGTTGATGGCCGTCTCAACAAGCTTCTCGCCATCTTCCACTGAGTCGTAGTTAGCAACCGCCTTGCCTCCAGCTGCGATGATTTCCTGCACCACCTTGTCGGCAGGCGAAGCCTCCCCGCCGACGCCGTGAGTGGAGGCACCCAGGTCGTTGACAACAACAGACGCTCCCAACTGGAAAGTAATTTGCGGATTAGTTTGCAATCTCATCCTCTGGCCGCAACCCGAAGGGATCACTACCTTTCCGAAAAGCAAAGCATATGCGCGACCAAGACCGTTGCCAGCACCGGTGACAATGGCGACCTTCCCATCGAAGCGCAGGTCCGCCGGGTTGGGGTTGGAGTCGAGGGATTTTGCTTGTTCGAGGAGGCCAACCCAGTCTGTGTCCATAATGGAAGTAGGGTACTGTGGGTTGCTGAAATCCGTGATTTGACCCCACTTTGCCTGAACCGACGCGGGCGTAAAAGATGGGTCTGCTTTGAAAACGGCGCCCTGGGAGCGCTCCCATCGGAGCTTGGACACAAATCCAGCACCAACTTCGAAGAGGGAACCGGTTTCTTCGGTGGTTTCGTGGCAGAGGTAGGCCACCAAAGGAACGACGAATTCTGGCTTGAGCGCAGCAAGCATTTCGGGGGGCATTACGGTCTCAGTCATTCTGGATGCGGCCAATGGGGCGATTGTATTGGCACGAATGTTCTTTTTGAGACCTTCCCGAGCGATGGTGTTTGTGAAGCCAAACAGTGCGAGCTTGGCTGCAGGGTTCCAGCGAGCCGATCTCAGCAATTTTCACCACGTGCATCAAACTCTGAGGTTTGGCCCTTACCTGCGGCGTAACTAGCCTGGCCGAAGTTACCGTAAATACCCGCAGCAGAGGCAGTGTTGATAATCCTGGATGATGTCACGTTTGAATATAAGAGGCATTTTTTTAACCCTCGTGAGGCTCCACATACCGTCCGTATCCCTGTTTTTGCATGTGCTCCCATGCCGCTTTCGCCACCTTGTAAGAACCGCGCACATGGACACGTTGAACCAAGTCCCAGTCCTGGTCGGTCATGCGAGCGAAAGATTTGTCGCGCAAGATTCTAAGCAAAACCCCAGGTTAGTACGAATTTTCAATGACTTGCCCCAACAATCCCAGTGCCTCACCCCGCATTGTTGATGACAATGTCAATTTTGCCAAACGCATCCAGCGCAGTCTGCACAATCTTCTCGCCATCCTCAACGGAGTCGTAGTTTGCAACCGCCTTTCCACCGGCCTTTCTGATTTCCTCGACAACAATGTCAGCAGCTTTGTGGTTACCACCTGCATCACCGGTGCGACTGCTGCCCAGGTCGTTCACGACCACAGATGCACCACGCGAAGCAAAGAAAGTGGCATACACCTGAATAAACCCAAAAAGGGTTCGATCAGCAACCCAAATGCGGGCTTAATACACAGTTACCGCCAAATGTACCTTTCCAAGCCCTGTAATTAATGAAAAGAAAACAAATCAGAAACGCGCGGCACAGAATTAAAAGAAGGCATGATCCGACTACTCCACGCAACGCATCGACTTCGCTGCCCACAGCTGCAATCCACCCTTTCCTCCACCATGTTTTCCCTCGCCCCGCCGCAGCCCCACACTCGTCGACTGGGACACATAAGCCTGGTCGGTCTGCCCGCCCCTCTACTCGCCGGTCTGCGTACTCACCACCACCAGCACCAGTCACAATCACAACACGGTTGTCGAAGCGCAGTTCACCCATCTCGTTTGGTTCGGGAAGTTGATTGATGAAGGGAAACACCACGGGGAAGACGGGAATATATATTTGCGCGGGGCGGAAATTCACGTGGGTAAGGAAGGTAGTTTATGAATTTGCCGAGCGTCATCACATGCGCCGGGTTGCTTACTGTAACCAACCCAGCCGCCTGATCAGGTGACCGAAAGCCTAAGAGCGTCTGCATCGGTCGTCTGCGCAGACGTGGCTTGTAATCACGTGCGCAGACGTCTTTTTTCAACCTGTGT